AATGTAGATTGGTTCTAAGCTTTTGCAAACCGATGGGCAAATTCAGGGTAGAAAGAGTTGGTAATAAAATAAATGATTTTATAGAAATGGGTTTTGTGTCATTTAGGTAAGACACAATCTATGCTTCATAAAAAGGTATTATTCTTAGGTGAGGTCGAAACTGCTGTCCATCCTGAAAGCGCCCTTACTGGGTGCCCAATTCACTGTAGCCATACTCAATATGAGTTGAATAAGAAACTAGTCACAACTGGTATACTTCGATTAGAATCTGCGTCCTGATAACAGTGAAACATAACATTTTAGAAAATGATACTCTTCGCCCATTCTCCTCTTCCAAGTTTCTTAAGGCTGAAATAGTTGATATTTCCCACTCGCATTTAACTGTAAAAATCTTCAACAAGAGTCCATGTAAATCAAAATATTTGAAAACACTAAAAGAACAATCTGCCTAGTTATATTGTTGCTTCAAAGATAATTTTAGTTTATCATGTGAACGTTAAAGCTGAAAATTTCGGCATCATTTTGTTTCTATATTATTACTTTGATATTTTTTTACCGTATGTCAATGCACACATGAGGTCTGCTGTGGTCTGAGTTTAAAAGTATACGAATAATGAAACAAATAGTCATTATTTTTTGTAACTTTGCGCCTTTTGTATACCACCTCATGTGCTCTCTTGTTATGCTAATTTAGCACCTCGTATGGCTCGCAGTAAAGTGCTCAGCAGCAGCGGAACCGGTCAGGAAGGCTCTCCTCAGCCAAGCCAACTCTATCCAGCCGACAGAATTCAGGTGGGGCTGCATTACGTCGACTTGGTCCCAGGTTGCCGATTAGCCGAAGACCCCTGTGTACGCCAGCTCTATATGGAATACTCAATTCTTGGCTTGCCGGACGTGCTCGAGACCCCAGCTGGTCTGGTGATGCCGAACGCCGTACCAGGAAAAGCAAAGCGTATAGAATTAAACTACTCACAAAGTGAGACAGTAAGAGAGTATCTGCTAATACCTTGATTCATTTCGACGTAGTATCCACA